TCTTGAACTTGGGTTATCCCGATTTCTGTGTAGCTGTGCTTATCTTTCTATGTTTATTAGCCATTTGGTATCTTTTCCTGTGAATATCTCAGATAAATTATTTGAGCATTTTGTCTACTATACTTTTTCCCTTTTCAAAAATAATTATCTTAATTGCATTTTATACATTCTGGATATTATTTTTTGCTTTTTAAAAAGCATTTTTTTCAATTCTGTGTGATTTTTTTGTTTTTGTTTTTGGTATTTTACCTTGGTTCTGGCACTTTTGTCATACAAAAGTTTTTGGCTTTAATATAGTCAAATACATCCTTTGTTTTTCCTGTTCAGCTCCAGTTTTGTATTTTGCTTAGAAAGCTCTTTGCAAGCTTAGAATTATAAAAAATACTTCTTATATATTCTTTACTGCCTTTATTATTTCATAGGCTGTGCTCTGTTAATCCACTTGAAACATTGTTATTTATGATGAGACAGTAATATAATAATACTTTATTTTATTCCAAACAGATAATTTATAGACATCAATCTATTTGACTCCACTTATTGACTCAATCAAACTTTTCCCAAATTCTCTCATTTTATATACATGGGTCTAATTGTGTACTCTTAATTCCATTGTTTCCCAATTTTTAGTCATTTGAATACTATCTTCATCATTTCTATTATATTCACGTTCCATTTATTTACTTAATATTACAGCATAATATATTTTAAAATTAATACTTTAGTTTCATATTAAACACATAAAATCATAGGTTTAACTTTTTCTGGCAAACATTAAATAAGTGTTAATTATTGGCATGACAAATGTTTATTTTCAGTCACTTTAAATCATCTTATAAACCACGGGTGCAGAGGTATTTTGGGGAAACCTACTGCATTCTTTCCTCTAACAGATTTGTTCATTTCGGTGATCATTCTATCTTCATAGTGTGTTTTATTGCTGTTATTATTAATGTCTTATTTTAAAATACCTTCAGACTCTCGAGGTAGTAAAAATAGTACTGAGAACTGTTGTGTATCCATCACCTAGTTTTTCCTAATGATGACATTTTATGTATCTGTAATACATTATCAAACTCAGGAAATTGACAGGGCACAATATGATTGACTAGACTACTGACCTTTCTCAGATTTTACCCATTTTTGCCTGCACATATATTTTGTCTTTATGTATAGTCAAATGACATCCTATCACATTTATGGATTCAAGTAACTACCACCACAATCAAGATCCAGAACCATCAGTCAGCATCAAGGAGCTTCCTCACAGACCCTTCATAGTCACACCCCCTCACCTAACCCCCTGGCAACCATGGGTCTGTGCTCTCCTCTGTAACTTAGTCATTTTAATAATGCTATAGAAATGGAATCACACAGTACAGAATCTTGGGAACTGACTTGTGTGGTTTTTTCCCTCACCTAGCATAATGACCTAGAGATTTGTCCAAATTGTCATGTCTATCAAAAGTCATTCCATTCACTTGCTGACTAGTGTCCCATGGTGTAGCTATACCACAGTTTGTTTAACCACTCACCTTCTAAGGGAGATCTGTTTATTTATTTATTTTTTCCATTTGGGGACTATTACAACTAAAACTGCTATGAATATTCATGATCAGTTTTTTTAAATCCTCACCTAAGGATATATTTTTTTTTTGAGAGAGAGAGAGAGAGAGAGAGAGAGAGAGAGAGAGAGAGAGAGAGAGAGAAAACATTGATATGAAAAACATTGATTGGTTGCCTCCCTTATGCCCCCTGACTGGGAATCGAACCTGCAACCTTTCGGTTTGCCCCAGGGAGGATGCTCCAACTAACTGAGCCACCCAGCCAGGGCATCACGTACAGGTTCTGATGTGAATCTAAGCATTAGTTTCTCCTGGATAAACGCCCAGGGGCGTGATCACTGGGATCTATGGTGAGCTTATGTCTTAACTATTTAAGAAACTGCCAGATTGGTTTCCAGGGTGGCTGAACCATTCACATTCCTCCAAGCAATGTCTGAGGAGTCAGGTTTTTCTGTATCCTCACCAGCATCTGGCACTCTCCGTGTTCTTTCTGTTACCTATTTTAATATGTTTCTGTGGTTTTGATCCTTCTTTCCCTAATGGCTGTTAATGTTGGCCATCTTTTCATGTACTTATTTGTATGGCCTGTTTTGGTACCCGCCAGGCAAATCTGAGGTTACCTTTCTTATGTGGTTCCTGCCTCCCCTGACCCTGGGAGGGAGCGCTGACCTTGGCTGCTCCCTGAGGTGGGAACGCTCCTCTTGGCTCTACCTCAGGCTGAAAGGGGTGGTGGTGATGGTGGGTGGTTTGACCTCAGTGGGTAGGAGCACAGGCTTAGAGCTTCAGGTAAGCTCTGGGGGGCTTACTGGGGAGAGGGTGTGAAGTTCCCAGTACCACACCCAAGGCACTTTCAATAAAAACCAGTACCTTTGGAGACGGAGTCACTTAGGCGTTGTGAGGAAGTTCTCAGACTGGGCTCCCAACTGGAAATAGTGGGACCTGGTTACAATAGGGTCACAGATATGACCTTTTTGGGATGTAGAAAGGATTGGAGGGGAAGCTCAAGTTGTCCCAAAAGGCCTGTTGTTCCCACCAATATTCCAAGAGTAGGACTCACATCCATCATGCTCTGCCCCGCACCCCTGAGCAAGTCCTGCCAGTGGTGGGGGGAGGGCGACCTCTGCAGCAGTGACTGTCTCCCCACCCACATTCGCCTTCTCCCTGAGGGCTGACTGTGAGCCCAAAGGTGCTAGAGAACCTCTGAGCTCCATAGGATTTGTGATAGGATTTGTGAGTCAGAACCCAGGGGGCTAAGGCACGTCCTGGAGGGAAGAACTGGCCCTGGCAGGAGCCAGGAGGAGCCAGTCTCATAAACCCTACGATGAGGAGGGGGGGTGAGAGTGGGGGGAGAGGTCTCAGGTTCAGCCTCTAGAGCAGAGGTTCTAAAGGGAGCCTCCTGCCAGTCACACATCCCACATGCGGGTCCTTTCCTATGTCTTTCAGGGCAACCATGATCTCATCCAGAAGGTTCCATGTTTACCTGTGACCACAGTCCTCTTCATATGACCTGTGGATTGAATCATCAAGGCTTGCTAAAAGAGGGTATTCATAAAGTGAAATAAGGGTATTTCTAGAACTTACTGAACAATGTCAGCGTGACCTCGGGTCAGTTACTTAAAATTTGTTTATTTGCCCGTCTGTAAAGCGGGGATAAAACTAGTTACAACTTCATTGAGATATTGGAAGGGTTAAAGTGCTTAAAACAGTTCCTGGCTCAGAGCAAGCATTGTGTCAGCTGATACGGTGACCAAAACATAAGCAGGGACGCCACCCCCCCCCCCCCCACACACACACAGAGGGCCAGTACTCCTGCAGCTGTGCAGGGTGTCTTGACCCGGGCAAAGGCTGCCTGAGCTTGATCGAGCTGCCTGGATGGTCAGTTTTCCCTTTGACATTAACCTTCCTAGGAAATGGTAAGTTTCTATTAGCTTAGCTTTATGTGTTGGGAGTAGTTTGGTAAATTCTACAGAATACAATGCTGCATATTCCATACTCTGATGTTCAACATAAAACTTTCTAATAACTATATTTATCTTTTTGTTCATCAGTTTATAATGTTCCTTATTATCCATAAATGAGTGAGATCATGTGGTGTTTTTCTTTCATTAACTGGCTTATTTCACTCAGCATGATGTTCTCCAATCCCATCCAGTTTACTGCAGATGATAAGAATTCCTTTTTTATGGAAGCATAGTATTCCATTGTGTAGATGTATCATAGTTTTTTAATCCAATCATCTGCTGACAGGCAACTAAGCTGTTTCCAAATCCTAGCTATTGTAAATTGTGCTGCTATGAACATAGGGGTGCATATATCCTTTCTGATTGGTGTTTCTATTTTCTTAGGATATATTCCTAGGAGTGGGATTACTGGGTCAAATGGGAGTTCCATTTTCAGTTTTTTGAGGAAGCTCCATACTGTTCTCCACAGTGGTTGCACCAGTCTGCATTCCCACCAGCAGTGCACGACTGGATTTCAAGCCATCCATGTGTATGGTTCAGACATAGATCAGCTTTGTCCCTTTAGTTAAACATGATGCATATATACATAACACCCCCCCCCAAAAAAAAGTTTTTGATCTTTGTGGAAGACATTTTTGCAGTTACTGAGCTCTTTAAGGGGGACCATCTGGTGAGTGTGGCTGCAGGGTTTTCAGCCTCTCCTGTGTAGGCTTCAGAATATTGGAGACCCGCACATGGAGGGCACGGGAGGGTGGACCTGCTACTCAGAACTAGGTACCTGGGGAGTGGCAGCAGCCCCTGTCTGCAAGGCACCACAGCTTGGTGTAGAGGCAGGGGACCTCGGGCTCTTCCTGGGGACCCCAGCTCCCCAGGCTGCCCTCTACATCACAGCAGCTGCCCCTGCATGGACCCCAGGTGCGTCTGTGCGTAGTGCTCACTCATGTGCACACACACAGGGCCCAGGACCTAGCCCCGGACACCCACTTCAGCAGCCTTACCTGATCGATCAGGCCCAATGCTGACCCATCTTCTCCTCTGCACTTGAAGACTTGCTCTCTCTTTCCATTTGTTCCTCACTCTGTGTGAGGGAACAATATCCTGCCTGAGTCAGCGTGTTCTTTCTGTCCCCACTATGAAAGTAGACCTGATTGTCAGTTCGATTCCTGGTCAGGGCACATGCCCAGTTTGTGGGCTTATTCTCCAGCAGGGGGGCATGCAGGAGGCAGTTGATCAATGTTTCTCTCTCATCGATGTGTATTTCTCCCTCTCTTCTTCTCTCTCTAAAATAAATGAAAACATTAGATACAACATACTGCCTTGGGTGACTAAGGAAGTTGGGTCCAGAGAGGGTAAGCCACTGTAGAGGCCACGCAGTCAGGCCCAGTCCGAGGAGTTCCCCTGTCATTAAGATGCTTGTTAGTGGCCTAACTCATTCACTAGTGAACTAACCTGTCTCCTTGCATTGTTCCTGCAGATGCCAAAGGGGCCATCCGGGAAATCGTCCTGCCCAAGGGCCTGGACCTGGACCGGCCCAAGCGGACCCGCACATCCTTCACAGCCGAGCAGCTGTACCGCCTGGAGATGGAGTTCCAGCGCTGCCAGTACGTGGTGGGCCGGGAGCGCACTGAGCTGGCCTGCCAGCTGAACCTCTCGGAGACCCAGGTAAGAGGGTATCCGGGCCACCGCACCCCTGCCCTGGCAGCCTAGGAACTCCTCCAGTGTGAGAGCCAACTTTGGAGGAGTTCAGACATGCGTTAAAGTTACAGGTAGCCAAAACCAGTTTGGCTCAGTGGATAGAGCGTCTGCCTGCGGACCAAAGGGTCCCAGGTTCGATTCCGGTCAGGGGCATGTACCTTGGTTGCAGGCATATCCCCAGTAGGGGGTGTGCAAGAGGCAGCTGATCCATGACTCTCTCTCATTGATGTTTCTAACTATCTCTCTCCCTTCCTCTCTGTAAAAAAAATCTATGAAAATATTTTTTAAAAATAAAGTTACAGGTAAATCAGAGAAAATAAATTTCAGTGCTGACAAGAGAGAACTGGTATAGGCCAGTGGTGGAGGGGAGTGCGGGGGGGACACCTTCAGGATGCATCAGGCAATTTGGATGGAACGGGGAGAAACCTGGGGGGAGGGACACTCTTAATGCAGGGAGTGGCTTAGGGGGGATGTTGGCAAGTGAGAGAAGCTCACAGAAAGGAATGGTGAGGAGTTGGGTTTGGGGAGAGAGAAGATTTTACACAGTTGGGACCTCAATTCCCCATTTGGGGCCTTTTCCTACCCTCCATCACCTTCCCTTCATCCCAGTGTGGCTCAGATTCTTGTGTTAGAGAGAGGGGTCTGAATACCCCCTTCACCCAAGAATAGCATTTCAACAATAATGAGCTCAATCCAAAGGCAAGGCTTTTTTGTAAACTGAGCCCCTATCCTGTGAGGATGGGGGCATTTCAAGCTGGCGATAGAGCCCTGTCGTGACAGCAACAACAATAGTAATCATACTTAGTGCTTCCTTTTGTCAAGGCCCTGTTCCAAGTGCTTGGATATGGGTCTTTGGTTGATGGTGGTGAGGTAGGGTTGTGTTTTTTATGGTTTATTTGTTTGTTTTTTCAGCCAAGAAAGTAAGGGTTTGTTAAGGAGAGGGGTCATGCCCAAAGTCACAGGTAGCTTGTGTTCCAAGGCTTGGCTCTCTGATGGCTTCCAGGGGGTGGGAAATATAGTCGTCATGGTGACAACAGAGTTAGGGTGGTGCTAGGAAGGGTTAATTGATCATTGCATCTGGTCCTCATGGCAGCCTTGGAGTTGTTCTGTCCAATGTCACAAGGATTTGTTAGGTGGATCGTTCCACTTTCCTGGGTCCTGAGCTAAAGCATAACTGAGGCCAAGATCATTTGTTTAGTTTGAAAACTCTGTCTCAGGAGTCAATAGACCCAGGACCTTGTTCCTGGATGCTGACCAGACCTCACTGTGCTGAGGGCTTAATGATTAAGCAAGGGAGAGGGAGGAGGGGGAGTCAGGGTGCTAGGTGAGGCAAGTTTGAGGCAAAGGAAAAACATCAAAATAAAAGACCAAATTAAAGAAAATAAGGTTTCTGTGTGGTTACAGTTCTGGATATGTTAGTTCACAAATCCCTTTCACAGCCCTTTGATAAAGCTACCAGTATTATCCTTTTTTATTTTTTAAAACATATTTTTATTGATTTCAGAGAGGAATGGAGAGGGAGAGAGAAATAGAAACATCCGTGATGAGAGAGAATCATTGATCGGTTGCCTCCTGCACACCTCCCACTGGGGATCGAGCCCACAACCTGGGCATGTGCCCTGACCAGGAATCCTGACCTCCTGGTTCATAGGTCGACGCTCAGCCACTGAGCCACGCCAGCCAGGCAGTATTATCCCGTTTTACAGATAAGGAAAGGTTATACCCAGAGTCATACAACCAGTAAGTCCCGGAGCCGGGGTTGGGAGAAGCTGCCTGGCGTCTTCATGCCGCCTGTAGACTGGGAGCATGTGGGAGAGGGACTCTGAGATCCTCCGTTTAGCTACGGCTCTCGAGGTGAAATCTCATACACCAGGGAGATCAGTCCACAGATGTATTGCAAACAAGGCCCAAGTGGGATTTATAGAGAGAAGAGAGGAGGGAGAGGTCAGTCCTCTCCACCTAGGCCGTTTTCCTCCAGAGTCCCAGACAATTCAGCAGACGGCCCACAGTGCTTCCAGCTGGGCCCTCCCTCCAGCTGGGCCCTCCCTCTCCCTGGAACTAGAAAGCCAGGCTGTGATCACAGAGGGAGCTTCAGTGAATGGGCCCAGCCAATGTTTCTGTGGGACCTCGGGGAATACCCTCAAACCCTGAAGCCTAGGGACAGGGTCACCTCCAATACCTGCCCTCCTCTTTGTCCTAACTATTCTCTGCTTCACCTAATTTTGCCCTGAAACTTTGCCCTCCCAGGGCACCTCAGATGTCCAGGGCAGTAGTTCCTCTCAGTCCTCATCCTTCCCCTGCCCTGCCCTGTGCACACTGCATTTCTGACTTTGAAAGTCAAAGCTTTCCTTAAGGCATCTTCACTTTCTCCCAAGAGACCTTTCCCACATGGCTTGACCTGTAAAGTGTGTGTGTGTGTGTGTGTGGTTACTTGTGTGTGTACCAACCATATGCATTTCCCAAGGACAAGAATGTGCCAATGGGGATACCAAGGCACAGAGAGGTTAGGTAACTTGTCCCATGTCATCCCACTGATGAAGGGAACAACCAGAATTGAATCCAGGCTGCCTGACCTCCGGGTCTTCTTCACCATATCATTCGCTGCTCTACCAAAATACCACGTCAGTGCCGCCCTGTCCATCTCTCCCACTGCTGGTGTCTGAGACCCAAGTGGGTAAAGATCGAGTTTTATTAATTCTGGCCTTCCAGACATATATGAGGTGCTTGCTGTTTATGTGTTGTATGTGTTGTATGAATGAATGGCCAGAGTACCAGGGTCAGGGCAGGAAACCAAAGAAGATGGTTGCCATGGAGGAAAGGAGGCGAGATGCTAGCTCCAGGATTCCCCTCGCTCGGCTATCCCGGTGGATTTTTCAGGACCAGGGACCTGACACACTGCCACGTCCCAATACTGACATGATCACCAACCCAGCTTGGATAAGAGTGGCCCTGGCCCTCCAGCAATTGTCCTCAGCCCTGTGCCCACCGCCTCTGCCCCAGATGGCTTCTCCAGAAGAGCAGAACAGGTGGTATCTTCCTGGTGCAGGTTACAAAAACCAGGGCCACTCAGATGCACAGGTGCCGTTCATCCCAGATGAAGTACGTGCCCACAGTCACAGGAAGAGTCTCTTTAATATTAACGTCACTTCCCACATGCGCTGGACCCAGGCATCCCACACAATGAGTCTTGGAATTTAACACGGACCATGCATGAGCCTGAAGAAGGTGATGGATGACTTTCCAGAAAATGCGTCCCCAGTCTTGGCAGCCAAGTGGAAACCACACCCCTCCCCTGATGTGCAGCCCTGGTCACAGCATAGTCCCATAAGGTCAAGGGTGAAGCTACCAAGCATTCCCTGAGTTAAAGAGAGAGAGGAAGCAAGGTGGCAGCCCCAAGGAGACCACAGCAGGCCTGGGAGACAAGGGGAGGGCAATGCCCCCGGAAGTGCATTGCCCTTCAGAATGGTACCTGTGCCCCTGGGAGAGTGCAGCTGAACTGAGCCCTAAAGAACTAGTAACTTCAGATTTAATCCTGGGAAGAGGGTGACCCTTCAGGTGAAATTGGAGGCTTCCTGGAGGGGGGAGAGGGGGAGGGCTAGTTCAGAGGCCCTCACTCAGTTTGTCCCGTGTTCCTGAGCCTTATGAAAAGCCCTTAGGGACCGTGGGATTGATGGTGGGAAGCAAGCAGGCAGGTCTTTTCACTCCCACCTTTGCAGCTTCAGCACCCACCTCCACTGTTTGCAGCATTAGAATCACCCCACAGAGCTTAAAATAATATATGCCACTGCCCTAGCTGGTTTGGTTCAGTGGTTAAGAGTGTCAACTGGAGGACTAGAGGATCTCAGGTTTGATTCCAGTCAAACCAAAGTCAATTGCAGGTTTCATCCCTGGCCTGGGTCCAATGTGTGTGAGAGGCAAACCAATCCGTGTGTGTCTCTCAAATCGATGTTTCTCTCTCTTCATCCCTTCCACTCTCTCTAAAAATCAGTGGGAAATATTAATGAGGCAAAGCCCTCTGCTTAGAGTTCCTTATTTGATCCCTGCAACAGCCCAGGTGTTTTTGTCCGCATTTTAAAAATGAGAAACCAAGGCTCCAGGTGCTTGGCGTGGTGCCTGGCTTGAGTCCTAAGACAGTAGGTACTGGCCAGGCAGAGAAGCTAAGATGGGTGGGGGAGTATCCTCAACATACAGAGTCCCAGGCCCCAAGCATCTGGTGGGACTGCTTCATGGAACAACTGACTTTGGGATTGACAAAGATAAAAGGGTTTTCTTCTTTCCACACCCTTCCTTCGCCAGCCGTGGTCATATCTCCCTTGCCTTTCCTCACTGATATCTCCTTCAAATGTCACCTCTTCGGAGAAGCTGTATTTGCCAATCCATTAATAAAAATCATCTCCCACCCTGGCCAGTTTGGCTCAGTGGACAGAGTATTGGCCTGTGAACTAAAGGGTCCTGGGTTCAATTCCGGTCAAAGGCACATCCCTCGGTTGCAGGCTGGATCCCCAGCTCTGGTCAGGGCAGAGGCAACCAATCAATATCTCTCTCTCACACTGACCTTTTTCTCTCTGTCTCTCCTATTCCCTTCCACTCTCTCTAAAAATCAATGGAAAATATCCTCAGGTGAAAATTAACAAAACAAACAAAAAATGTCACCTTCCCTGTGTCTTCCCCCCTTACCCTGCCACCTGTCTCCAAAGTAGTGCCCCCCAAAGTGTGGTCCTGGGGCTGATGCCAGCCTTGCACCGTCATCTGACCAGACATGGAGAGCATTTGGATATTATATGCAACTGTTCTAGTAATTCACTATAATTGTATTTTACAAAAGAATTGGTCCAAGACAAATTAGAAAATTTTATTTATTTATTTAAAAGTATATCTGTATTGATTTCAGAAAGGAAGGGAGAGGGAAAGAGAGCTAGAAACACCTATGATGAGAGAGAATCATTATCTGGCTGCCTCCTGCATGTCCCCCAATGGGGATCAAGCCTGAAACCCAGGCATATGCCCTTGACAGGAATCAAACCCGGGACCCTTCCGTCCGCAGGCTGATGCTTTATCCACTGAGCCAAACTAGAAAATTTTAAAGAGTAATTCTTCACTCCCGGGAATTTGAGAGATGCTGTTCAAAGCATTTTTGCCACCTGAACATCATGTTTTCATTTGTTGTCTAGCTGCAGTCTCCCCTCTACAACGCCCAGTCCCCACACCAGAATTCACTCTGCTTTGTTCACTGCCAGTTCCCTAGCCTGGAACAGTGCCTGGCACATAGCAGGCACTCAATACTTACTGGTTGAATGAATGTGTGAGTGAATGAATAAAGCAAGCAGTCCCAAGTAGACCCTGTAACTCTCTGGTCACTTTTGGTTTTCGAAACTCAATCAATCCACTTGGTGTCGTATTGAGAAGCCCAGCCTTTATAGGTTATAAGGCCAGAGGGGGCTGCGATGGGTTCAGACAGGAGGTGGTCAGGTTAGGTTAGAGAGCTCACTTCAGAGGCCATGTCAGAGCCCACGCCAGAGAGGAGGAACCATCCGTAGACTGAGCAGCTAGCCCCTGCCCTAGCCCCACCTCTTAGAGGGCCCACTTTGGCTCTCCTCTGGCCATGCTCCTCCCTGGGGTGAGGATTCTGCAAGGCCCAGGGGTCTGCCCACACCAGGGCTCGGTGCCCACCTTCTAGACCACACCTCAGGTGTCCAAGATTCCAGAATTCCATGCCAACCCCACTTCTGGCCCCTGGCCCCTGCCTGGGCTCTGCCCACATCAGTCTTCCCCGGGGCAGACCACACAGCCATTATTTAGAAGCCTCGGCCCATGAGTGGCCATCGGGAGCTGTTTGCAGAATGAGAGCGGGCTGGGGGCCCACACACGTGCAGGTCAGAGCCTGGGCAAGCCATGAGCCAGCGCCTTCCAGTGTCTTGCTCCCAGACCTGCAAGTGCCGAGGCTTGGGTGTGAGGCAAGAGATCCTTAAACAGCGGTTCTCCTATCTGGGGATCACCGGGTGTCAGGTCCCAGCCACCCCCATTCAGGTGGATCGGTCTGAGGTCAGGAGTGCGTTAGACTTCCCAGCGAGCTCTCGTGGCTGGCCAGAGCTGAGAGGCCCTGCTGGAGAGATGCTGCCACAGTCCAGGCCAGAAGGGTAAAGAGAGAGGGGAGGGCCTGCGCTGGGGAAGGTGGGGAGAGGTCCCTGTGTGTGTGTGTGGGGGTCTGAGCTGGGTCTGTACATGTGCAGTTTATTTTTATTTTATAAAGATATTTATTGCCTCGTTGGTGTAGCTCAGTGGTAGAACATAGACCTATGAACTAGGAGGTCATGGTTTGATTTCTGATCAGGGCCTGAGTTGCAGGCTCAATCCCCATTCGCGGGCATGCGGGTGGCAGCACACCAATGATTCTCTCACATCATTGAAATTGCTCCCTCTTCCTTCCTCTCTGAAATCAATAAAAATATTTTTTTAAATTTTAAATATATTTTATTGATTTTTTTTTTCCAGAGAGGAAGGGAGAGGGATAGAGAGAAACATTGATGAGAGAGAAACATCAATTATGATAACTGCCTCCTGCACACCCCCTACTGGAGATGTGCCTGCAACCAAGGTACATGCCCTTGACCTGAATCGAATCTGGGACCCTTCAGTCTGCAGACTGACACTCTATCCCCTGAGCCAAACTGGTTAGGGCTAAAAGATTTTTTTTTTTTTAATTTGATTTTTACAGAGAGGAAGGGAGAGGGAGAGAGAGAGAAACATCAATGTGAGAGTGAAAAAACGGATTGGCTGCCTCCTGCACACACCCTCTACCAGGGATGGAGCTTGCAACCTGGGCATATGCCCTGACTAGGAATCGAACCGGCAACCCTTCAGGTGCACAGGACGACACCCAATTCACTGAACCACACCAGCCAGGAATCTGCATGTGGAGTATAACTGGCAGTTGGATAATGGCCTGGTTCTCAAGTTGGGAAATACTAGCACATCAATGGCTGAAACCATGACCTTGGCTAAGAGTGGAAGTTATGTTGGACCAAGAAGGGAAACTCCATTTGTGCCTCTAAACTCCACCCTCCGTCTGCCAACCCATTCCTCCATCCTAGGCCTCAGTCAGCTGAGCAGGAAAGGGGGACCGATGATTTGGGGGCCGGAGGCCCTTATCCATTCACCCAGAGCAGGCTGGTTGGGGGAAGACCTTAATGACACTCTGAATGCTCTTCTTTCCCTCTCACTCCACCCCTGCTGCCCCCCCTCCCCATTCCCATACCCCTGCACCCTTCTCCTTTTCTCCCACCTCTCCCCCACCCCTCGCCTTGCCTGTCCCCTCCCCCTTCCTGGCACCCGCCCCCCAAGGTGAAGGTCTGGTTCCAGAACCGCCGCACCAAGCAGAAGAAGGACCAGAGCAGAGACCTGGAGCAGCGGGCGTCCTCCGAAGCCTTCGCCACCTCCAGCGTCCTGCGGCTGCTGGAGCGGGGCCGCCTGCTGGCCGCGCCCCGCGCCCCCGGCCTCCTGGCGCTGCCGCCCGGCCTGCTGGGCCTGCCCGCCGGCCCCCGGGGCGCCGCCTCCGGAGCCTCCAGGAACTGCTCCCCGCGCCTCCCCGCGCCGGGCCCGGCCTCCGGGGCGCCGCTCCCGCCCGCGCTCTGCTTCGCCGCCGCCCCCATCCTGGACCTGCCCGCCCGCTGCGACTTGGGCTCCTCGGCCTTCGAGCCTTACAGCCCGCCCCACGGCCGGCCCCACAGCCCGCCCCACAGCCGGCCCCACAGCCCGCCCCACAGCCGGCCGGAGCGGGGAGGCGGCAGCCCCCGCGGCGCCAGGAAAGCCAGCGCCTAAGCCCCCCACCCCATGACACTGTGTCCCCGAGCCCCGCACCACCGCCTCCCGGGCCAGGGCTGGTGGGCAGCCGCACCTCCTGCCCCGCCCGCCCTCCTCCCTCCCCGCCTGAGACTCTGGACCCGGACCGGACAGCCGGCCACGCAGCCTGTGTGTGAGTGCGGCGTGCGTGTGTGCTCTCACTGAAATAAAAGGAAAACCATGACGAAGGGAAACAGAGTCCCCCAGCACCTGCCCCGCCACCCCCTCCACCCCTCTCTTGGCTAAGGTGGAGGTGGGGGGGGGGGGATCTCTCACGGGAGGGGCAGAAACTGGGGCCCTGTCCGCGGTCCTGGGGGATCCGGCTGCCTGGCACCCACTCCCAGGGAGAGCGCCCACCCCGGGAACTCCCGGGCCCGTGGGAGCAGCATCCTCACTTTTCCGGGTTCAGCATTGCCCTTTGCAAACTCCTCTTTCAAACATAAAAATACCTGAGGGAGGAGATGCTAACTCTTTTAAAAGGGTGGATCCAGAGAGTCTGAGAGAGGGTACCAAAGAACCCCATCTGCTTTGGAAGGCTCACCCATCACAGACACAGCAATATGAGTGTTTTTAAGTACTTTCATTTAACTTTATTTTGTAATAATTGTAGATGTAGAGGAAGTTGCAAAGATAGTCCAAAAAACTCCTTGTACCCTTCACTCAGTTTCTCTCAATGGTTGTTGCATCATCCTTTCGTCCTTCCGTAACTATGGTAACCACCAAACCCAGAAAATGGAGATTGGTACCATGCATGCACCGTTCCACGTCATTGCATCCCTCGTGTACGATTCATGGGCCATCACTGACATCAGCAATAGGCATTGTCCGGCACCACCAAAAGCGCCCCTGCTAGCCCTACCTGGTCACCCCTATCCCTGCCGCAGGCCAAGAGAGTTCTGGGAAAGAGTGGGAATTGGCGAGAGAGGGACCCTAACCTGGGTCCTTAGGCCTGGGGGCTGCGGGATAAGACTGGGACTTTGTAGGGAGAAACGGTCTGCTCCAGTTTGCTCTGGAAAACACATACCGGCATTTGGTTTCAAACTGGCTGCCCTGAGTCACCCAGAATGGGGTGCTGGGAGGGGAATCCTGAGTCTGGAATGAGACCTATGGGTGACTGGGGAGGAGCTGGGGTTAGGCAGGTCCAGCCACCAGCCAGTGTCCACCCTGCCCTGGCCCAGCAAACCTGTGTGTCACCACACTGGCCCGGGGGGAAGCACAATTCGTTCAGCCTCCCCGCCCAAAATACGCTCCTCCGTTTGTACTTGCTGCAGGCGAGGCCGGCTGCGCAGTGGAACATCGGAAGTGAGGCAGGTTCTGTGAGCAGACGGGAGAGAGGCCCGTTTTGGTTCTCAGGGAGCTGTCAAGAGTAGGAGATACAAAGGCATAAGGAACCCAAATCTGATGGAGGAGAGACACGCTCAACTCTGGGGCTTCCAGACCAGGGACGGCAGCCAAAGAGAACTTTCCCAAGGGGTGTGGGGGCTAAAAAAAAAAATAATAATAGGTTTCCTCTCACCTTCTGAGTTCTTCTAGCTGGGCTAGTAACCGCATGGCCAGAGATGAACAGGAGAAAACGGAATTTTAATATGTGCACACCTAGAATTCATAAAAACATGACTCTTCCAAAGACAGGGAGGCAAAGCTGGATATATATGTCATTTTTTTTTATATGTGTCATTTTGGACAAAGGAGAAAAGGGGGCAGTGGGGTATTAGACTTTAAAAGTAAAAACGGGTGATCTGCAGGTAATGGGGGAAGAGCGGAGCAACCTGGTGAGGTAGATTTGGGCTGGGCAACCCAGAAACCAACGGCCTGGTGAGGGGGTGAGGTCTCATCAGCAGGCTCCTCTGGGGCCTCAGTAAGTGATGCTCAGATGGTTGTGCTGAGGGTCCCTTCCTGAAGCCGGTTTCCCTTATGATCTCGTACGCAGGAACGGGGAGCGGGTCAAAGGTCTTTCTGAGTCTTTTGTTTCTTAATAACCAGTTTAACATCAATCCCCAAAATCCCAAAGGCAGCTTTGGGGTGGCAGAACTTTGGTCCCCTGACACAGGAAAGAGACCAGATGTGTGGTGACAGGTATGTTGGAGGATCCAGGGGAGGCTTCCTGTAGGAGGCGGTACTGGAGCTGATCCAGGAATGACCCTCCCTCGGTGTTCAGAAAAGGATGGTAGTGGAGGTGTGCAGGGGAAGCGGTACCCCGTATGGTCAGGGAAAGAGGTGCAGGGTGACGGCGGGTTGCTGGCAGGCACGGTGAAGTGAAGATTGAGGGGAAACCAGGAAGAGAAGTGGTGAAGGGTATGGGGCTGTAAGAGGACCTGAAGTTCCAAGCTGGAGAGGAGGGTAGGAGGGGAGAGAGAGAAATGAGTTCACATGGGCTTCAGGTTGGGGTGGAGGAACCACAAGAGGAGAGAGAGGCCAGCCAGACCCCTGTGCCCCTCTCCCCCATCCTCCTTCAGGTGGCTTAGGGCACCTCCCAGACCTGGAATTGCTCCAGGAAACCGAGTTTCCCTGTTTACAGTTGACCAGGGGGAGGAGAGAGGGGAGGGGTAGCCACAGGGGACAGGCTGGTCGGCTCTCTCCAGCTCTGACTGGGTCTGAAGCCCTGGACCTGCGTCAGCAGCTCGGACACTCTGCTCCAGCCCCACACAGCACCATGGCCACGGAGGTGGACAGGAGGCCTGGGGGGCTCCCCAGCAGTGGTGGCGACCTGGGCACAGCTCGCCAGCATGTGCAGGTGGTCACCCGAAACTACATCACTCACCCCCGTGTCAGTGAGTATGACCCCCAGTGGGTGGGTGTGGGGTGGGCTGTTGGTGCTCAAGGGTGCTTTTTAGCCTCAGGGAGAGGAGGACGGGGGGGGGGAGGGGTGACCCTGGGCTTTCAGTCCGGTGGAGTGATCCCATGAGCTGCCTGCACAGGAGCCACCTCTGCAGGTGGAGGGAAGGGGGTCCAAGCCCAGGTTGCTCCAGAGGAGAGGGCAGGGGAGTCGGTGCAGGAAGCTCCCTGTCCACACTCTGGACCTGCATGGGGACCCCAAGTCCAGAGAGAGCACCAACTGCCCCTGAGAGTGTGTGTGTGTGTGTGTGTGTGTGTGTGTGTGTGTGTGTGTGTGTGAATGTGTGTGTTTGGGGTATGTATTAGGTCCAGCATGAGGAAACGTGTGGCCGAGTGATCTTGGGGGGTGGGGGATGTATAGCAATGCAGAGATGGTGTGCATCCTCTGGATGGGACCTATGTGACACTGTGTGTGTCACATCAATGGGTGCGTGCCGTGTGTGGGTGCTGGGGTGCTGTCTGTGTGCATAACCAGGCAAGGCACATGCCTGCGTGTTCCCATCTTCACTCATGTGAAGATATGTGTGAAGATGTGTGACAGTTGAGTGTGTGTGTGATCAGAGTGAAGCAATGTGGGTATCTAGGTCATTGTGGACAAAGTGGGTAAGGGAGATGCTGTGTGTGCAACTTGTACACCCAGGGTGAGGGTGTGTATGTGGGAGTGTAGACGCTCCAGCATGCGTGCTCACACGGAGGACTCGGGAGGCGTGCTCAGGGGCTGCCCACGTGTGTGTGTGTTTGTGTGTGTGTGTGTGTGTGTGTGTGTGTATGGCGGGGGAGGGGGAGCACCTGGCACAGGTGTGAGGGCCAGAGGGCATCTTTGCAGGTTGCAGAGGGCCTGCCCTGCAGAGGTGGCCCAAGTTCAGGTGTCCGGGACAGAGAACCCGGTGAGGCCCTGAGGACCAAAGGGAGCCCTTTGCTCCCGCCATCTCTCCTAGTCCAAGGTCACTCTCCCCGCCCGGCTTAGTTTAGAATTCTCAGCAGCCCAGCCCACTGCCCACTGGAGGAAACCGGCCTGGCCAGCACCAGCTGAGCAGAGCCAGAGACCGCGAGGAGGGTGTGTTTGGGAGAAGCTGGTCTAGCACAGCCACCCCTCCCTCCTCTCCAGTTACACCTGATGGGGGGAGGAGTGGCCTGAGAGGCAGCTGAGAGCCTGATCTGTGTTTGGGAGCTGAGCCCCAAGGCCCGGGAGGAGTCCAGGGGGTGTGAGGCACCTCCTTAGGCCCCAGCAGGCCCCGAGGGTGGAGCACATCCCGCTGAGGAGCAAGTGAGAGGAGTGGTGTAAGGTTGTCCAGATGCCCTGCAAGCTCTGCCCCATGTGGGTGCAGAGAGGATGGAGGCCTCGATCCTCCTCCACGGCAGAGGGGGTCCTCAAGGCCCAGAAATATGCAGTGACTGGGCCTCACTTGGGTCCAGAGCTTAGGCCCGGAGACCTGAGAGGAGTCTGCTCACTCTGGTGCAGTCCCTTCTCCAGTCATCCCTCCTCCCTGTGGGAATGGGAGGGCTGCCGGGACCCCGGGGTCCTGAGTGGGCTGTGCTCTGGAATCTGGACCCACATGCTTTGCTTTCCGTCTCCCTGGAATGTACCCGCCCAGGAACCCTGCAGGCTGCACCCCGCCCCCACCCCCACCTCTAGTCAGATCCCTCCCTTGTTTATAGTCAACAAGCCCTGGGTCAAGTCTGACCCAGGTTGGAATCCAGGGGTGACAGCAACCTCCATCCTCTGCCCCCCAGCCCCAGGTTTGCAAATGTGCTGCTCTGTGTGGACCCCACTCGGACAAGGGTGTTCACACACAACAGCTGACCCCAAGGCCAGGGTCAGTGCAAGGGGAGCAGAGATGTCATTGTGATGGCCAAGGCCACCACCAGTGTCCTCACAGGGCACATCCTGGGCCGGCCCCCACCCCCAGGGCAGGCAGGGTTCCCCATGTGCCCTCACCTGCAGCTTCACCAGTTCCCTGCTTCCTCCTCAGGCCCTGAGGGGTTCTCCCTGTGGGGAGGGGCATGAACAGGCACCGAACCCAGAGCTGCTGCCCTCCTGAGCTGGGCTGGACTCTTCCTCTGAGTCTGGCCTTCTCCCCGGGCCTGTAAGCACTCCCAGGAGAACTTGGTGTGGAGACCAGAGCACAGGAGGCGGGCAGCTG